GGAGGTGAGTTTGGCTGGCTGGAGCCTAAAGGGAATTAAAACCTGGTAGTTTTTAAAATGCACAGATATATACACAGTAAGAACAGCTGAATGCTGAGCAGAGCCCCAGGATGCTGGAGTGTACCTGCCAAGCTAATGAGCAAGTCAGCCACCTGCCCTTTGGTACCACAGCCAGCCTTCTGCCATGGTGGGGCCTGGCACCATCTTCCTCTGCAGAGCCCTCTCAGAACTAAGACTGGAAATGTATTGAGCTGGGAGTTGTCTTGACAGTGCACCTGCCTCATCTTCCTGACGTGACTTTCCCCATGGCTCCTCCTTTCTGTTTGTCACAGCATTGAGGTATCTAGGTGGCCCCTTAAGGAAAGACACAGTGTCAAGGCGAAAAAGTGCATTTCACCAAGGCATTGTCTTCAGAAATGACATCAAACTACAAATGTAGAAAATGTCTTAATATTCCCTGGTTTGCTTTGTCTGTGTATAATAGTTCATCTGTTGCAAAAAGCAGTAGTGTTAAAAATGGAAATGCTCTTTGGGCAGTAAAAGAGGAAAAAATGCTGATGTTTTGTTCTTTGGCTTTATTAGTAAAGATTAAGCTATGTGGTGGTAATTTGTGTGAGTCTGTTTTTTTCTTCATTGTGGTTCTCCTTCCTTCCCTCCAGCTCTGTGGTGTTAGCTGTCCACTGATCTGACTGCTGACCTGCTTCCCCATCTTATAGTCCTGCAGGATGAAACACATGCCAAAAAGAGATTGCTGGTTTTGTAACCTTCCCATTTTCCTAGCACTGCAGGTGCCTTTCCTGCTGCTGCTCCCAGATGATTTTTAGTGCATGTTGCTTAGTGCAAAGCTCTGCTTTCTTTTGTGGCCACACGGATCCTGTTGAAGAGTTTGCTGCTAACGCCAGACTCGGAATGAACTGGTTTTTAAAACACATGTATGAAATCTCCCTGTCCAGCTGAGTAAAAGCTGTTTCCCACCTTTGAGGAAGTTTGAAATGTTCCTCTAGCTAGGCTTTAACAGAAGGCAACATCAAGTAGGCTGCAGGCCAAGGGCAGTATTTCTGTTTCACACTGCCCTTTGTGCCACTCATGGCCATCTTGGCCACCAAGAGAAACTGCTGCTTTTTTGGATGGAGAGGATCAGTTTGGTCTGCAGACAATCTGTACAAATTCAGGTGTAGGTTGATAATGGTGTTGGGGCTTTTCTAGCACAGCAGATCTCTAACATCTAAATAGCACATGAGCAATGCATGGGAGGCAGTGCATGTGCTGTGTGTCACCTCACAGCTAGGGCAGAGTCACCACTGTGCTGCCTGAGCCCTGCCCAGCAGGCTGTTTGATGCAGCAGCCTTTCCTACTGAAACTTCACTTTTTCCCATATGTTTCCATTGGTTTCATGTTGATTCATAGTCAGGGCCAGTGTGATTTGTGCACAGGGACCTGACTTTCAACCACTGCTTTCTTCTCCCTGACATCTACAAGTGGATTGTGGTAAATCCAGCTTGTAGCTATTAGGTAAGATAGGGGTAGGCAGCAGGAGAGAAGCAGAGTGGGACAGGTAAGAGACATCCATCCTTGTGACTCCTCTCGCTGCATAAAGCTAAAATAACAGATTGATGCAGGAAGGCAGAGCTGCTTAATTTGTCACTGTTCCCTCTGCCTTCTCTGCTGCCACGTTCACCTTGCAGCACATGGCAGCTTGGAACAGTGGCTGCCAGTTGCACCTCTCATCTCTAATTGCCTTATTATCTAGCAGTTGCTTTGTAAAAGCTGTCTCATGCTGGATCTTGCCCTGCGTGGTGTCTCTGTAGTCATTTCCCTGCCAAATAGTACAGACTGTAACGCAGCTCAGCTCCTGGTGACATCAGAGGGGAGGGTTCCCACAGCCACAGGGCCCACAAAGGCATCCTGTTCCACCTACTCAATTAGCAATGTCAGATCAGAAAAAGAAGACAGGCTTCACTATCTGAAAAAATGGTATGGCTTCTTGGCTGACCTGTGTGCCAAAAAGTGACATTTTGGATATATGTTCATGGAGCTAACCTATTTTGGAGTTGGGTTTTTTAAAGCCAGGAAGAAAGAAAACCTCTTTTACTTCTTCACATTGTCTTTTTGGAAAATACAGTACCAGCTGTTTGTTGTCAGTGCAGTGTAAGCTGTCACAAAGGCTCCAAAGGAAAAAAATGAGCCCAAAAAACACCCACAAACCATAAAAAGTTGTCACTACATTATCACTTCCCAAAGTGATGGAACACAGGCCCCACCAGAGCTACAGGCAAGGTGAACCAAGAGTCCCTGGTGGTGCTTCTTCCCATGAAGCAGCATAGTTGGAGATTTCAGCAGAAGGGCACTGACCCTCTTCTCATTGCTCCTGCTGCCAGGTCACAGGGGCAGAGACCACAAAGGTGTCCTCCCCTGCCTGGTCCCTGCCTCCTCAGAGGTACACCACACACATTTTGGGGATGCAGAACTGAAGAATGGACTCGAGGGGTTACATTGTTCATGCTCCTGGCTCCCCACCCAGGTTCAGTAGCTCCACTAAAGCAGCTCCTTCTCGCCAAGCCCTGTCAAGGGGTTTAACCCCCCTGGATCAAACCTCACTGCAAGAACCAGGAGACAGACAGGCACAAGACACAAAAATCGCCTTCCTGAGGTAGATCTCAAAGGCTGGCTGGGAGTCAGCTGCACACTGGCCCAGTGCCTCTGGGAAGAGGCAGAGGAGTGCCCCACAGATCCCCAGGGCTCCCAGCTGTGACAACCAACCTTATTTTGCAGTCAGAAAAACCACCCTGCCTCAGGGAGGCACCAAAACCTCTCTAGGGTTTGAGAGAGGATGCAGTGGCTGCACCCAGAGAATCCCAGCAGATAAAGCACCAAACCCCCATGGGGAAGTTCACAATAGCAAAGCTGCAGCACCTGGCAGCTCCTAGGGCATGGCCAGTGCCAAGTAAAATCCTGTTGGACCTGGCGAGGCAACTGGAGGAAAGGCATGTAAACAATCTGCAATTAACACCTCTGGATGCCCATGCAGGAGATGTGTTTTCCAGAAAAGACCAAGCAAGTTTGCTAGCAGAGAAATCCCTGTGTTGTACAAGGTACCATCATCCATCAACACCAGGAAATAAACGAGCCAGACTTTGGGAAAACTTCACCTGAAGTTGAATTTCACTGTACAAAGGCTTCTGTTCAGTGTGCTCAGGATAAAGCCAGCTGTCACAGATACATTTTATAATATAAAAGGGCTTAACAACACCTATCTATTAAAATGAGGTCTGTAATTCCTATTGACAGAAAAAGGTTGGAATTGCTTTTAAAAAAATATGTTCTGTAAACACAACCACACTCAGTGACATACACAGCTTTCACACTTGAAGTGCAAGCTAATCAAGAACATATATACAGTTGTGATGTGCAGATGGACCTCGTATTCATCCATAAAATGTACTTTTTTGTTATCTGAAGCGTCCCTCAAGCTAAGACTGCACACACAGAAGTACTTTGCTTTGTCCCTTATTATGATGCACAGTAAGGGAAAGCCTTGGTTACAATTTCACCCAAGTCAGGTATGCAGGAATGAACTCCTCCAGTGCTAGCTCTGCTCCAGATGGCTACTGATTCCACCAGCAGAAAGAAACAGTGGCCCTTACAAGTTTTTCTGTTAGACACTCACATTCACAGAAAAAGGGATGTGTTGCAAATCCAGCTTGACACCTAGAAACAAGTTCAAAAGCCACTGGCACAGAACAAGAGCACAATAAAGCTCTGGCTCCCTGTGCAACACAGGTCTTCAGATGACTCCAAACCACCACAGTGAAACCTCTGTGCCCTGGCTGGTGTCACACAGGAACATTCACCGGGTACCCAAAAGACCACATGGGACTCTTAACCCTCAGCTCTGTTATTTTTGCAAGTTCTTCAGCAGCAGGAAGCAATGGCATCTTCTTTTGACATGACTTAATATGCACAAAGGGAGAAGGTCCCATTAGCAGAAGTTGTTTCAGAGCAATTCCAAATTTTTGCTAGACATGGATGGGTGTGAGAACCCTTACAGGCAAAGGGGCTCTGTGTTTATTCAAAGATGTTCATTTGTGGTCACTCAGAGGATTGGCCAGGGGCACTCACAACAAAATACATGAAGAGCTAAGAGATATTGAAAGCGAAACCATCTGTGCACCAGGTCAAAGAATGCTATTAAGAACCTGTCCCAAAAAGTTATTACTTTTCTGACCTAGAGAGGAGAGCAGATTTACAGATCTATAACCTAAAATGACAGCTTTACTTGGTACTCTTTGTGGCAGCAGTTAGACTATAATGGAAGATACTATTTCTCAGGGACTAAACTCATATCAATGCCAAAGGGAGTAAACTTGTACCTATGTTCCCATTCCCTCTTACTGTAAATATTTTCCAATTTAGGGACAAAAACTTAGGCATTTCAGTGTTTCTCACTGTTCTGTCAAGAGTTAAAAGTAACTCTGAGGTTGTAACACCTTCCTCTCGTGCCAACATGTAGGTCATTGTCTGTTTCATACAATCTCAGTGCTGGCAAAACAAGGGGAGCCAAGATACCAAACACACAGGTGAAGTTCACATGATGGGAAAGAAACACTCAAGTCCCAGTCCTTAATTCTGGGTGCATCATTTAAAGTAACAACTCCCTCTTTTCTAGGGCACTTGGCAGAGCCCTTGCCACAACTCAACCAATACTCGTACTCTAGTCACAGTGATTTTTATCAGAGCATCTTTCTGTTATATATCAGAACTGAAATGTAAAAGAAAATAGTAAAAGGAAAAGATGGTAGTCACAATTTCTGGTAAAATCATTGCCCTGCTGCTTCTACCTATATCTTCTTTGTCTGTCATTTTCCTTAGCTGAGGACATTTCTGCTGTGGGGTCTTAGGAGGCTGCACATCACTATGGGGTCACAAGAATTGCTACCAGTAACCTGCCACAACGCAATTAAAACTTCAATTGAAACAAACAATAAATAAAGAGAAAGACATACAGGTTTTAAATATAGGTTTCCATTAAAAGCATTACAAAGACAACTTCTCTCATTTTGAAGAAAAAGAAAAAATCCACTTCTACTTAAAAAAAAAAAAAAAAAGAAAAAAATTTAAAAATCACCCTTTTGCAAGTAACTTTAATGAGGAAAGGTGCAGGGAAGGGAAGGAGAGAGGACTTGGAGAATTAGCAAGTGTTCAAAAGGGCAGGTGCCCTCCATCTTGGTCATTTTGCAATTGCACCTTCTTCTCACACAGTCAGGTCAGAGAGCCAGAGTCCTCATGTGGAGGATTTCACCACCTGCTCATATGGGGGAGGTGGTGTGTTGCAATAGGAAGGTGGGGGTGGGTAAACCGGGTTTCCTTGTGGGGAGTTGGGCTGCACGTGGAAAGCCATAGCCATGGGATTCATCCCAGCTCCGCCTGGGTCTGTGTAATACGGCACTCCAGGTTGTTGTGACCCTGAAAGAAAGGAAAGGAGAGAAAAGGTATCAGCAACAGCACAGGCATCAGCCTGTGCTCTGCATACTTGGACAAGGTTTTTCCAAGTGTTCATCAGAGCAAAGACAAGGAGTCTTTCTCCCTTCCAGGAAAAAAACCAGGCTGGCAGGACTGCATTCACCTCTTCAGATACTACCAAAAAGTTTCAGTTTTGATCCAATGGAAATCATGTAGTGAAGCAAAGGGCACCACTGCCCCAGGCAACTAGCATTTCAAAGGGAAAACAGTGAGCCCTGTTCAGTTGCTGTGACAGAAAAGCTTTTTGTCTGCAGAGAGGAGAGGTGTGGGATCCCAGATGGACAAAGGAGTCTCTACTGTGGCCCTGACTCAGGTGTCAAGTCTTACAAAAGGACTTCAGAGATTATTTTGTGGTGTCCTGGATCTGCTGATAAGCCAGAGTGAAGCTCAGAGGGATAATTCCCCTCCCACAGTTTAGAGGTGAGCCTTTGTATAAAGCAAAGAGCCAAGCTGCAGTCAGTCACTGCTGGCTAACACAATGGGACAAGATTGCTTTGCATAGATTCAATTTAGGAAATGATGTTGGAGCCTGCAGGGACAAGGAAAGGAAATATATGGCCACACACAAAATTCCTTGGCTGTGACACATAAGGAGTAACAGAGATTGCTTCCATAATAACAAAGCTGGTGTGTAACCCTCCTCAGATATCACAGTGGGTGGTGGAAGATGACTTAATGCAACTGAAGTCACAGAATATCTCAAGATCTAAGTTAGCTTTTTTTTTTTTTTTTTTCTTTCTCTCTGTTTAAATAAAGATGGACTGGGAAAAAAGTCATGGCTGAGCAACAGGTTTTCTTCTTTTGGTGCCAGTCTGTGTTTCCTATAATGACACAGCTTCTAAGAGATCTTCCCCTTCCATTCTCCCAGTCAGGCTCCCAGAAGAGCACTACTCCCAGCAGATGCTGCTGGAATGGCAGAAGATGCTGCTGCTATCTCTGCAGGGAAGGAAGGACACAGGCAATGAGCCACATTTTGTGGGCTCCACCTCAACAGTGAATTGGCTACTGGTACCAAACCCAGAAGAGTAATTACTGGAAAATGGGAACTTGCTTGACTACTAATTCTCATTGCTTTTGCTGTTAAATATTTCTAGAACAGTGGAAAAAACTAAAAATAAAAAAATAAAATAAACTGTGGGGTTAGCTCAGAGCCCAAAGCTTTAAAGTAACAGTAGTAATAGTCTGGAAGCAGGTGCCATAATCACGTCATCAAAGAGCTTGTGCTGATTTTATATTTGCCCACAATTAATGTTCCATGAAGTGCCATGAAAGAGTAAAACTGTGCTCTAAATTTAAATCTGGTGTTTATCAGTTCAGCCAAAGACGTTCCCTGTTCACATAAACTTCAGGCTATTTTTCAGGCTTAAAAATATTAGTCTAGTTGGATTGGCTCCCCCCCAGCTGCAAAATACTCTCTGTTCAGTTAAGGAGAAAACCAGATGTGGAATGGGAGCCCTAAAAACCCTTAGAATTTAAACAAAGAAGTGTCAGTTTGTGTCTGTAACATCTTTTTAACCTTTTAGGCCTAGGAGTGTTCCCAACCAGAACTAGCAACCAGAAAGGAAGAAATTACAAACTTAGAAAGCAATTTTGGCAGAGGAGCCCTCACTAGGTAGGTCCTCCTGATGCTCACAGTATTTACTTACTCGAGAGACAGCAATCAGACTAACAAGGGGTAAAAGACCACTTTGGCACAGAAAGACTCCAGCACAGAACACTGAAGGAAAATTTAAAAAACCTGCAGGATGGCCAGATTGTGGAAGAAAATGCTAAGCTTCCTTCAGCTCTGCCAGATATTGTCAATTGTATTTCAAACTCTTTCTTCCTGCGACTGTTGAATTTGGACACCTATCATTTTGTCTGTGCTACAAAGGGAGAGCTTGCTAGCCTCTGTCCATGCATGTAAAGGTATTATATATATATACCTATATATACACCTGTAAAGGTATTAGGAACTGAAAGAGAGCTGAAAGTTCTCTCATCCCGTGTGTTTCAAAACCCCTTCTGTACGCTGCAGCTGAATTATGCTGTTGGAAATGCTGAGCACATCACTCACTCAGGAGGTGGATGCGTGTCTGAGTGCAGTGCAATCCCTTGTACAAATCACACACTGTCCAAAAACCAGTCCAAAAACAAAAGCCCAAAACCCACCCTTTTTTAGTGCCTTGGCCAAAGTAAGAAACTCGTTATGAGCACTCTCTGACCTGATGCAGTGTTGACTGGTTGTCTGGTGTAAGACACATTAAAAGTAGGTTCTTCTACTAATGGAGGAGGGTACATCCGCCTTCGGATAAAGAAACCAGCTCCACAACAGAACAAAACTCCCATCATCAAAAGGAACCTAGGCAAAAAGAAGAATGAAGTCAAAACCTGTATATTTAGGCAGCATTTAAATCCAGATTTTTCACTGAGAATACATCAGCCTACAACTTTTAACAGGATTTCTTAAGCAGGTTGTCTCTTAAGAGCAGGTCTGTCATTTGGGATAGCACTCATGGATGTATTCTGGACATCTTCAGTGACTAGTACTGCTGTCAGTGCTCTCTGGCATGTAACCCAAAAGTAAAACACACTTGAACTTTTCAAAAGTTCAGGTTCACACATGACCTTGGCCACTGGGATGCTAACCTAAAATTCCAGGTTTGTAGTACAGTTTCAAACTGTGCCTCTTGGATGCAGGCCCCAGGCTCACAGCATCTAGGCTGCTCAGGATGTTTGTGGAGTACAGAGAGGAATACTGTTCTGCATTTGCCATTTAAAGAAGAATCTTGGATATTCTTAAATTAACTCAACATTTTAATTTCAACTCCCATGGGAAATACAGTAGCTGGCACTTAAGCTCAACCCAGAAGACTGAAGCATTCAGTACTGAAGGCGACAGATTTTGCTTTGTGCTTCCTACATGGGGTATTACATTCTCCATGAAAAAAAGACATTATTCAGCCACAATTCTCCTTCTCTCAGCATCCTTTCCAACCTAATTAAACTGTCCTCATCATTTCCTTGCCCTGGTGTGGCAGAAACAGGAACATGCAGCAAGGGCACACAGATTTTGGTCTTTAGACAGCAGCTTCCACTGTGTTTTCCTTGATCAGTTACCAGACACTCCAGTGACTCATAAAAGCTCTTGTAAATTGGAATGGTTCCTCTGCCTGTAATTGCCATCTTGTTTCATGGCCTTTTACTGGAAGACAATGACAACTGTGCTTTTTTGGAAGGCAAGGAAGTTGGCCAGAGGCAAGCCTACACACCACACTTATCTCTGGAAAATTCCCAGGTGGCTGAGAGGAAGAGTGTGGCACAGAATGGCAGCAAGAGCTACTTCATGCAAAGGCTCAAACTCTGTTGTTGTTTCTACATTAGAAATGAGAGCAGAAGGAGGTTCTTTTTCCCTGAGCCAATATTTATACATTCCCCTTTGGCAGTGTTCCTGCAAAGGATTTTTTTCTGAGCAGAAGAACAGAGATTTACGACGTCACCCCAGGGATTGAGATAGAGAGCTCTTCACTTATATCAGTAAGGATTGTACACTGAAATCCCACATCAGCTTTGGGAAATCTCTGTATTATAGTATACATCAGGCTTCTGTTTCTCACTGTTTATTTGTTTCAGTTTTGAAGGCTTTTTTAAAAATCAATCTTCAAATTCCACATTAAATGCCTGAAAAAAGGTTTTCTAGGGAGCCTTTCCTTTCTCTCAACTGTAATGAGAAGGGTTTATTCAGGTGCTTTCTTAAATTCCACTCCAAAAGGAATTTACCTTATTTTTTCATTATGCATATAACAGTGATTAGTTTAAGCTTTATCCAGATTACTGCTGCTGGTTTCACAAGCTCAGTCTTTCTACCTTCTTTTCCTTTGCTGTCATCTCCAGTGAAATCCTCATAGCCATAGATGTACCTCTCTTCCTTTTTAATTGAAGCCTCAATTCAGCTGGCAGGAATATATTAAATCCTGCCTAAAAGCACAATCCTGCTTATAGGATCCACTTTTAAAACCGAGTGCCCAAAAAAAAAACCCAGGAAGAATGTTGCTGTTTGGCAGTAGCTGGGACAGGCATAAAGAATTCAGCAATTCTGGATAAAAGTGGAACTGCTGCTTGTACAAAGCAGCAGGATGCAGAAGCAGGAAAGGTCAGCCTGACATGACTAACCTCCTTTTTCAGTGTTTTCTTATTACATCAGGAGAATTTAATAAGAAAGAAATCAAATCCATGCATATCTATGTACACACATACCTTCCTACATACTTGCACCTGCTGTACTTTAAAATACCAGGGCTGGCAATATCCTGATTTAAGTCTGACCAACAAGACGAGGACAAACACAAAATTCCAAGTGCCCTGCACCTACCAAAAATACCATAGTCGCTGGATAGAGAGAGCTCTTACACAGCATCGTGAGCCACAGCAATCCTCATAGGAGCGACATCTGGGGAGAAACAAAGACACAGGGATGTTGAGTGGCTGTCAGATTGAAATGGCATCCCCAACCCTGACACCACTCACACCCCCAATCAAAGCATCATTTTAAGAAAAGACTACCCTTGGCTGGATAAAACTGTCATTCACATTCACATGCACAGCACAGCTCTATCCCTACTCAGGGACTTCTCCCATGTTAGTGAAACTAACTTCCTATATACTTAACCTCAAACCACCTCTAAAAGACCAAACATGGTGTTCAGTTCTATATAAAAAAAGGACAAGTTATAAAGAAATGCAGTATTGCTGCGTTTACTTTAACATTAAACAAATACTGCAGACTCTCAACAGATGTTTGGAGTTTTACTGACAGGAACAGACAAGAACTGCCAGAATGAAACTGCCAGATCACCCTTTCTTTGAAATCAGCACCTTCCAAGCAGAGAAACCACTGAGTGCAAAGAAAATTCCAATCGTACCATTACTTGCAAATTTTATGCCCTTTTTTCTGCTCAGAAGTTGCATTGGACTGCAACTGCCAGCAAGTCCCATTATTAAAGCAGTCTTCTCTCTAAAAAACCTGCACACTTCAAATTAATATTTTGTATGCACAGAACATTTTCAAAGGTATTCCATCCTCAGTCATTGTGGGCATGAGGTACCACTGCACGAAAAGCAGGCACATACATTAAGGGCAACCTCTGAACAATTCCAATGGTAACTCCTATTCCCACACCAGTGAAACTTAGTAGGGAAAAGGACCAAGTTAACACAAAATCTGTGGTATGTTACAGACTTGAATGAAAATAAGCATATAGCAATAAGATTACCATATCCACACACAAAAAGAAAAGAGGAGGTGACCACAACTGGATTGATCTTTTTAAGGGTGTTCACATCTGTGTGCAGAATGCACATATTTATTTAAGCATCTGATCTTGGACAGTTTGCTCAACTGCATGACTGTGCTCCCATATTTGTATGCAAACTAAAACCATGTCAACTGAATAACTGTACAGACAATTACACATTTACATGCTCAATTAACAAGGCTTCACTCAGAAAATACATTGTCACATAGGCTTCAGCCTCTAACTGGGGCCAGAGGAGATTGCTCTATGGATACATAATCAGTTGTTTTGCAAGTGAAAACACAGTTACATGCTCTTCTGATGACAAATAAGTAGGATTTATTGAGGCAAGCCGGAGGATCTGACATGATCATCATGGCAAAGTTCATTAAGACACTCGGGCACCCAGTTTGAGACTCAGGCCAAGGAAGCTGCTCATGCCAAAAGAGAAAACACCCACTTTGCTGCCATTGAACATGAAAGTGACCCATCTGCAATTTTCCTTCTTTAAAGCTTCCCAAGACCCTGACAACTGCTCATACTCGAAACTACCAAACCTCACATAACTGTTAACAAGACTTAGCAAGTCAGCATTAACTTCAGTCCCCTTGGGACCAAGAAATTAAGTATTCCTCCATGTTTCCACAGTGGTTCAAACCAACAGGAGCTTTCAAGACATATGTTGAAGTTAAGGAGAGTCAGGTTCCTTACAAAATGGGCTGGGAGCTTCTGCTACCACCAGAAGTGCTCATGGCACCCCTTTGTTCTTCAACATGCTTTGGTTGTAGCACTTAATCCATGGTGCACTTGCCCCCTTGGCTGATTGGATTTTGTTGGGCCAGAGAAGAAGCAGAGCCCATAAACCTAGAAACCCTTCTTGACTCCATTAGGGCAAAAATAAAAAGAAGGATTTTAGGAATGTGAGCAGTCCTTATCTCTACCTCTGCACACTGGCTCTGTCAGCCCAGACACCTACATCTGACCACACACAGGATGGGGAGTGGAGGCACCACTTCCCAGGGCCCCAAGAGCTTCACCTGTAATAAAACTTAAACAGAGAGGTCACAGAGACTGCACACACACTTCCCCCATGGTCACCCTTTCCTTGCTTATTTTGCACCTGTTTCCTTCAGAGCCAGAAAATATGGGAAATAGCTATTTTAAAATACATAATTATGGGCATTCAAACCACCAAAATGAAAGGAGCTTCTGTAGAGGAATGCAGTACCCCAATCTGTTTTTTATCTTTAAGTTATCCAGGTTACAAGTCAGCACCATTTTTAAAGTCTCAAAGGCTTAGCTTTTATTCCTCCAAAGGAAGGCTAAAGCACCAGCTGGAAGGCAGAAAGGCTACACTGCTGAATATTTATGAAGCTCCTGAGACCACTGACCGACAAACAAACAGGCCATCAAGAGAAGTTTCAGGTGACTGAACTTTCAAATGGTTGAAAACAGTGATGCAAAGGATGGAAGAGTCTCTCATGGTGGCTCCAATTCTTGGCAGTCAGTAAGCTCTCTTACTGTAAAAGCCAGTGAGCTCAGCCAGCTCATCCCAGGCTGACCACTGCATTTGCTGGGTGGATCTGCAAAAGGATACCAGTGCCACAACCCTCACAACCCTCTGAGATCTGACACTGGTAACCTTGTCACTTTTTACCCATAAAACCAAGCAGGTGCTTTTTTCTGTGTGCCTGTGAGAGTGGACACATGTACCCATATGTAGGAGCATGGAATCAAGGCTGGAATCAAGGATGATCCCAACCTGCTGTCTGTACTACCCACCACCTGACAGCAGCACCAAAAAGGACTGGAAGAGTGAATATTCCATTTGGTGATACTGCCATCAGGCTACAGCACAAGCTCTGCTGATCTCTTGTTCTTAATTCTATGCACTGTGGAAAAACAACACAACTCCTGACAATATTCATCCCAATTACAAGACAATTAACTTACTTACAAAAGCCATATTTATTAGCCTGCAAAAGTCAACAACAAAATCAGCTTATTAATGGAGTAACATGCAAGCTTATGTATAATCAGTCTTTGATGTACTATCTCTCACTGCCTGATGGCAAATCACAGCAGAACTAAAACCCTGGTTCATTAAAAAAAAACATAATTAAGCACATGCACATATATTTATTGAATGGTATGCATTTTCTTTAAATTGAACCCATACTCTGGCTTTGCTTTACAAGGAAGGACCAGTGTGCCTAATGCCAGTTGAAGCAGAATGACCCTTACTAACAATCAGAACAGGACTGAACCCATCTCCAGAAGGCTTTTCTAAAGTCAATTTCCCTCTTTCACAGATCAGTAATGATCCCAAGAACTGCATTTCCCTGGGGCAATGTTCATTTCATTGATCTAAAGTTAACCTATGACACAGGAGAAGACACAATTAGTTGCTTTGCTAATCTGCAACTTCACCAAGAATACAATCTCTCTTTCAAAAACTGTGTGCAATGGGATTTATTATTTAGAAGGTGCATCTTTTCATTCATAATTCAGTGGAATAAAAGGACTGTATGTGCATGTCCAATGTCCTGAACTGCTGGCACACCAAGGAAGTGCTGTGTCACAGATCAAAGTTACACACTGTGTCAGGTCACAGGGACATGGTTTTTCTCTGGGTTCACACTTAAATCATGGCACTGAACTTCCTTCCTTTATGGACAAGCAAAGCATCATTCCTCATAAAGGAATATGGTATGACCCAAACCTTACAAACTCTTTACTTGCAAGTGTTCTGTGGATAATAGCTGCTCAATGATATGGTCCAATAGCTCTTCTCCAATTACACCTGCATCTACACAGCTGAACAATTCCCTTCCCAGTAGAGCTGCTGCAGCAAAGAGCTGCATTCCCTACCACCACCACATCTTTGAAATGGAAGCTGTAATATTCTTAGGTTTTTTCTCTAGATGTTTTGCATCATATGGGCCAAAACCTGATTTAGCATTTAAGATGTTTGATTAGTAATGTATTTTGGAAGACTGAAGAAACCATAAATTGTCAATCCACATGTAGTGGCAGAAACCCTACTGCAGACACAGAGACAGAGGATGAGTGGGTGAAATAAAACCACAGCTCCACATCAACAACCAAATACAGTGAACTGCATCATCTCTAACCTCATCTTGTTCTGAAGACAGGCCTGACATGAATTCCAAAAAAAGGTTGCATACCAGTCAAAGGTTAAATGATTGCTGCACATATCTGTAAATTCTATGATACAAATTGGGATTCACTGAAACACAAGAAGCACTGGCAGTTTTGGAGCAGGGGGCAAGAAAACTGAAGGGAGTAAGGGAATGGTGTAAATGAAAATACAGCAGTAAAGCAAAGCTAAGAACACAAAGGAAACATTTTGAGGGTTGGTAGAAGCATTAGATGAAGCTAAGGAAGTGCCAGATGTGGCCCTAATATTGGCACAGGCAAAAGACCAGAAGGATTCTTCATAAGGGCTGCAAGGGATGAACTGCTGAGGCTGGGTCATCTCCAGGCAGATTCAATGCTGAGCCCTCAAGTCAGAAGGTTCAGGTCTGCTCCCATGGAACAGATGACAGCAGACATCTGAAGTGAGCACACACATTTACTTGTTCTAGGACAAAGGAAGTTTCAAAAATAAAATAATCTAATCTGCTTGCAACTTAGGAACAGAGAAAAACAAATAGGGCTTGAGACAAAAAGTAAAAGCAGGCAATCACCACAAAGTGACTATCAGAAACAATTCTGATGAAGCTCTGAGTCATGGCTCTGCTATCTATGAGGAGTGATGCCACTGAGGTACACTGCCACAAGACTTAGACCCGACAGACAGAAAATGGGGAAGATAACTGAAGGTGCACCATGTAATTGAGAAAGAGTTCTTTTTCTACCAAGTTTACTGAAACTTTTATTCATTTCAGACATTTCGTAAGTGCATTGCCATCCTCCCATAAGAAGCAGCCTTCAAAGCAAACCCATTGCCTGTACTGCTGTCTAAGGAAGGACACAGGCTATTGGCTGCAGACATGGGGAAAACCACCACACAATGGAGGGGTTATCCAAGGAATCTGTTTTGCTACAGGAGCCCACAGAACGTGGAAACAGAAACAGAGAGTCTAACTCTGCACTCAGGAGTCACACCTAAGCAACTATTTCTGAGTCCCAA